CACCCATATATGCGTGCATTCAGTGTAAAGAATACTAGTATTTTAAAACACCAACTGTTTAAATGAACTAAGTCAAACCCAACTGATACGTGACACCGTATTTTTATCGTATCGTACATGCAAAATGCGTGAGATAAATCGCTGTTAGCCTGTTCTATCTACATCGTGTTTTAACCCTGTATTTGCTGTAGGTCAGACTGCATCACCATTCTGTCGCAGTGCGCAGACAGGTCAAGGCTAACGATGGGTCAGACTCCGGAGAGCATCTGCAATGCTATGGCGCCCGATGACGATAGCAACCACTGCATCTCTGTCACCAATTACCTCGGTAATGATTAGCTGCTAGAGCCTCACCCGTTAGTTCATATGCAGCGATGCACTGCGAACATTTATGAGGAAGTGTATTTTGTCAGGAGTGAATAAGAGACAAATGTGTTTTTATTTTATTTCGTAAAAGTTTTTTTATTAACAGATTTTTTATTCACTCCTGATTTTATTCATAACCTATTCTCCTGCAAGCTGGTGTCACAGTACATTCAAGAAATGGTTATACATCGAAAGACCGTGTATTGACGTTGATGGCCGTGTAAAATATTGACCGTGTAAATACCGTGTATTGACGTTAGTCGTTAGTCACGCAGATTGGTCGGGCTAGTGTCACTGATGCCACTGATGACGTTATCAATGTTAAACATATGTACACTTGCGCGTCTCGTTATGTCAACGTTTCGTTCGTTTCGTTTATCAACGTTTCGTTCGTCGACATTTCGTTAACCGATTGTCCTACTCACGCTCTCCTTCCTATATCCACGCTCTCCTTCCTATATCCACGCTCTCCTTCCTATATCCACGCTCTCCTTCCTATATCCACGCTCTCCTTCCTATACGCTGACTAGCCTGCTTACGTAGTAACGCTTGCTATCAGCTGCTAGCTGTACGCTAGCAACCACAGCGCTGTAGGAACCACGCTGACTAGGCCTGCCTTACGTAGTAAGCTGAGCTTGCTATTCAGCTGCCTAGCTGTAAGCTAGCAAAGCCACAGCGCTGTTAGGAACCACGCCGACTAGCCTGCTTACGTAGTAAAGCTTGCTATCAGCTGCTAGCTGTGAGGTAGCAGCCACGGCATTGCAGGAACCACGCTGACTAGCTCTGATTTCGAGCCCACAGCAGCAACTAAGGCAGCTGCTGTGTAGCGAACCCTCAAGGGTCGCAAACTTTCCGGAGGAAATCAGAATTTAATGTAGCGTAACGTCAGGTGCGTACGATAGGTTCCCTCGCTACCGAGATATATATATTATATATATATATATACATATATATATATATATATATATATATATATATATAGAGAGAGAAGAGAGAGGGAGAGAAGAGGAGAGAGAGAGAGAGAGAGAGAGAGAGAGAGAGAGAGAGAGAGAAGAGAGAGGAGAGAGAGAGAGAGAGAGAGAGGGAGAGAGAGAGAGCGGGCGTGAGAGTCCAAGAGAGAGCGAGAAATAGAAAGAAGAGGAAGCAGAATAGGAAGAAAATGCGCCTCCCTCATTTTCTTCTCTTCTTTCTCCTGCCTAAACAGACAGAACGAGGAAAGAGAGAGAGAAGAGAAGGGGGAGACGAGAGATTCGCAGAGATAGAAAGAAAAGGGGGAAGAGATAGAAAGATAGAGGGAGGAAATTCACCGTACAATCGGGATGTTTGCCGCTGGATGAAGAGCATTGATGACATCACGAGTATCATAATATAGCGATAAGGATTCATAATGTCAGCCATAAGAGAGTAAGGCATAAGGAGTCATGAAGACATCGTGTCATAAGGAGTCATAAAGACATAGTGTCATCAGGAGTTAAGAACATAGTGTCATCAGGAGTGTCTGTATTGTGACACTCCTGATTACAGGTGTGCTATGCTTACCGCATACGGGACAGCAGGTGCCTGCGGGATGATGCCGCGACACGTGCGCGTGGGTAGCTCCGGGCAAGACGATGCTACTGCACTGAGGGTTGTCTCGGTCCGACACTGCAAGCAAGCATCCGATGATATTTATACGTTACTAATGCGTAATGCTACGAACGCATGTGGTAGAAGTTAGTAGCTATAGTCGGGAGTGACGGTCCAGCGGTACCACGATTAAGATCGAGGCATTATATATTACCTCCTATTTATATTGGAGTAATGCTCAGAAGACAAGCAGTTACCTGTTTATATGTGGAAAAAATCGCGGAAAAGATATGTTGTTACTTCTGTTTAACGGAAACGAATAAGGAAATTATCTTGATCATAAGACACCGCCTGATTACATAGATCACAGGACGATCATGGTCATGATGAAGTATTGCGATGAAGCCTTGTACTCACGGGTGAGTTGACCGACGGCCGTGCACGGACCCCTGTAGTCGACACTGACTCTGTCCGCCCAGGCCACTGCACTCACTACTGTACGTCTCACCGTTGCGTCCACACACGGCGCCGTCACCGGAGCACTTTTGCTGCGAGGAGTAGTGCAAGAAACAACGTCAACGACCGAAGTACCACGTGAATGATAGCAGAACAACAAATCTGTCAATGGATCTCGCGCGAAATATGGGCAGTTTTTATGTCGGATCTCAAGAATTAGATGGGCATGGGAGATGATCGCATTATCACTGGGCACACCTCGGCCGATTCCGTAACTTCATCTATAATTGGAGTAATGAAGAAGATAAGTGTATTTATCTGGATATGCCGAAGTTTGCAATTTCTATTAGACGGTATCAAACAAACAACAAATCGTCAACATAAAGCGTCAAAACCTCCGCAAATTAACGCCAACGAGGTAAAAGCGCCACAGTTGCTTTAGTTGATCACGCGTATGAAACATTGTTAGGTAGTGACATTATGCAATGGCATATAGTGATGGTCAGAGAGGCCATATATCCTACGCTGGTGTGTACACTATTAACAACACAGAGGCGGAGAATGCGGCCCAGTATATCATGGCCTTACACGGGCCCGCGCGGAAAGCCGCTAGGCTACCGCTGGCAGCGCTCATGTAGATAAAATATATTTAGGGGCTATATACGAATATATATATATATGTATATATTATATATACATATATAATATATATAATATATATGTTTATATCTGATATATCTGATATAAATCACTCACAACGCACTCGCCTTGTGCTCGCCGCGCTTGCGTATGAACTGACACATCGTCGTGCGGTCGTCGAGTCCGCAGCCGGCGTCGTACGGCTCGACGCCGCAGTTGAGATGCTGCGGCACGCACACGTACTGCGGACACACGTCGTCGATGGCCACGCCGCCTCGGCACCTCCAGGCGGGTTCAGCAGGCACGTCTGTCGGCGCGGCACGCAGCGCAGGCCCGCCTCGCACGGGTCCGTCGCCGGCAGGGGTCGTGCGAGGCGCACGTGCCGAAGACAAACTGCGCGTCTTCGAGTCCGGCGCACCTGGACATGTAGATGACAGGTGAGAGATTAGGACAGGTGAGAGAACACCTGGCGTGATTGTGGGGCAATTCTAAATGCTGTAGTTAGAAAAGCGCCCACGTATGTACACGCGAGCGCGCGCACACCACACACACACACACACCACAACACACCACACACACACACACACACACAACACACACACACACACACACACACACACACACACACACACCACACACACACACACACACACACACACACACACACACACACACACACCACACACACACACACACACACACCACACACACACACAACCACACACACACACACACACACACACACGTACACACATACACACATGCGCTCGTGGCGCAATAACATGAGCTTTCGTGGCTGCAAGTGACAAAGTTAACTAAGTTACAACTGATTCGCGATATATGACGCTTCGCTGGTAATTCAGTTGTATTGTTACCGGCCTATCACTCGACGACACGTAGAATACCCGTGCAACATAGACCCACTGTAATTACTGTTGAAGTTTGCTGACTGCTTACCTTGCGATGCAGGCGCTGGGGTAGGTGCGTCCGTTGACAGCGCACACTGGTACGTAGTGCTCAGGACAGTTACAAGCAGACCCGTGAACGAGGGGGCGCTGCCGGCGCTCCTCGTCATCGCAGGACCGCACTGACGATTGCTGCAGATGACGGCGCCATCGTAGCAGACGCACAGGTTGCAGCTTTCGCCCCACTGTGTGTTGTGTGCTGAAATGACGCAGGTGGAGGGGGGGGGGCATGCGGCGTAGTACGATACTGCAGCATATGATGATATCAAGGGGTGTCATAATAAGATATCTAATATTATCCCATCATTATCTATTCTTCCTCTATCGATTATTATTATTATATCTATATTATGACGCCTCCTGATGATATCCCCTGCTGGTGTTGTGGGGGGGGGGGTGATGCTTGTCTGTGTTATCAGTGGCTAATGTGTCGTATTTAGGTAGTCATGTGTTTCGATTTTATATTGTGGTATTTTTCATCGCTATATCAGCACGACGATTTTTCTACATAGTTGGGAGCAGCAGGAAAACAGGTGGGTGGTGGTATCGGGCGTAACAGTGCAGCGTAAGAACAGTGCGGAAAACAGGTACATAGTGGAAGCAGCAAGGAGCACAGGCCGGTAGTGGAACAGCAAAGAAACCCAGGCGGGTGGTGGAGCAGCAGGAGCACAGGCGCACGATAGAACAGCGGGATGTGCGCTTACCTACGGACCTGGTCCCCGTGCACGCACGTTACGCT